GCCCAGCAGTTCCTCATTGATCGTCAGTCAATCTTTGGAAACGACCTCATCAGCTTGCCTGAAAGTTCATCGCTTTATGTTCCATCTGAAAACATGGCTTCCTACCTGTCCTCTGTGGGTGTCCAAGGGGATATCCCGTTAAACCTGAGCTCTTCAACTGACAACAACCAGTGATTTAGCTTCCAGAAACAACATCTCCCTCCCACCCATCCAAGCATCCACAGGTTTGAATGTAAAGAAACCAAAGTGACTCAGAAACCCACAAGGTTTTTTTGTGCCTTTTCTTTTTGAGTAGATGGAAATGGTCAGTAGCTGTCGCATTGCCCTCCCTGCACCTGGATTCCAGGGTTTGTCCAGGATAACTATTTTAAAACAAAATACTGCTTCTGGTGCTTGCTCCTATGGGGAGTGAAAGCTTGGCAGGATTTTTTTTTCTTAAAAATGCTTTTAGAAATTTCAAATTTTCCAATAAAATTTAAGTGAAGAGTAACTTTAAAGTACGTCAGGGCCTTCGTAAAATAAAGTGATCCTGACTAGCATCTGCAACAGCAAACGGTTGGATTTTATTGGGGCAGCACAGATTAGCTACGATGCCTGACCCTTCTGGATACTGTTTTTTAAATAGAAAAATAGTACTATATGCCAGTCCAGTGCTCTAAAAATACTCTTTTATCCATTTTCTGGTTTTGATGGGGTGTACTTGTGCCTCTCCCATATCCTCCTGGGGTGGGTAGGACAATGAAGATCTCTCGGGGTGTGCAGAAGATCATTTTCTGAGTGACCACTCCAAGAATGTGTCTCTGGCTCCTAACGGAGCTGCAGGCCATCATAGACCTCAAAGCATCCCATGGTGAGTGAAGAGGGTTTGTTGTTTGATTTTTTTTTTTTTCCCTAAATTTTTTTTTTTCTAACATAAAGGCAGGGCAGTCCATACTTTTTTAAAAAAAAAAGGATAGACTCTTCTGCACACACAATTTTCCATGTGCAAAGAGAACTGAGGGAGCGCACTCTGGGTTTTGGTGCTGGCTAAGTATTCCATGTCCAGTCCAATGCTTTTTTTTTTTTCCCTTGGCCTTGACCTGTTCTATTCCCCTGGAAGATGTGCCTGTTGCTTTATTGATGTACAAAATCTGATGAACTAGTTTAATTGATTGGATCCCCTTTTTAGAAGGACTCTCAGCTGCTCAGTGTAGGAGAGAGGCAGAAGGGTTAGTCCCCCATGTCCCACTAACTTTTCTTCTGTCCTTTGTGCATCTGAGACCAGCCTCCAAAGGCTGAATTAATCTTCCTCTTCCACGTGGTTTCTGACAACTGAGTTTCTCAACAAAGCAGAGCTTTGTTTTTTATGCTGTAGTTCTAATGAGAACGTATTATTTATCTCAGTTTCCTCTAATTGAGTTGCTTTTCCTTAGGAAAGCTACCCAGATGCAGTAAGACAGACCCAGGAAATCCAACTAACTCAGGCCTCCGAAGGGCTTAGACAGGGAGGTATCAGCCGTGCCAGTATCATTTGAAGAAACGCTCTGCCCACTTTCATTGCCGTGACAATTCTTGGTTCTAAACTGTATTTTTGAGCATCTTGAATGGTCAAGCAGCATCCACCCCAAAGTGTAGTCAATCAGATGAATGCAGGCTCAAATTCTCCTTAACACGACGAGCGTGTTTTGAACGGACCTTCCTGTCACAGCCCTTCCCTCCATCCCTGTATCAGTGTGTGAACAGATGTGGTAGTTCTGAAACACTTGCTTTTCAGCCCGTTTTTCCCCAGCTCACTGCTGTGTGCTGGGAGTTCTGTCACCGCCTTGGTGGTGCAGTCTGTGCGGAAGGGAGGTGTGAGAGCTCCTGAATTAATTCCAGCCACTGTTTTTGTGTTCAGGACGAAGGGAAGATTCTGGCAGCCCCCGTTGGCCTGGTATTTAGACGATGTGCTTGAGTGCGTCATGGACAAAGTTTTCCTTTTCAACAGCTTTGTGCTTAGAAGGTTCACCCAGATCAGCCCATTTGCTGCTGTATTTTGTCATTTCCAGCGATGGAAAGTCGTTGAGTTGCACTGTTTACTTCTTTTCTTGTAGGTACTTGAAAACTGCCTGGTGTCTCATATCACCTGGCAGCGTATGTTATCCCCGTTCAAGATTTACGTCCTCCTCTGAACCTTCACACCTTAGGTTGCCTTATGTTAACGCTGAATGTATCCATCCAATAAGCTATTGAGG